CATAGGGGCAGCAAATCCCAATTTAGAGCTTTATTCTCCTCCTGATTCCCCTCCTTGTTCCTGATGCAGATCTCTACGAACCCATTCTTCCCGTGTGGAGAATGGGGTGCCATTTTATGGTTTGCCTCAGGTACCATATTGTCTTGGAGGGACCCTCTATGCAAGTTCTCCAGCTAAATACAGTGGTACCTCTGGATGCGAATGGGATCCGTTCTGGAGCCCCGTTCTTATCCAGAAGCGATCGCAACCCACGTCTGTGCGTGCGCGGGTCGCAATTCGCAACTTCTGCACATGCGCGTGATGTCATTTTGGCCATCTGTGCATGTGCGAGCAGCGAAACGTGGAAGTTATGTGCTCCGTTACTTCTGGGTTGCCGCAGCGCGCAACCCGAAAATACTTATCCCGAAGCTACTTCAACCCGAGGTATGACTGTAATGCATATTCTGGGGTAAATGCATTCATTAAAGTGCATATATTCATGAAAACAACACACCAAAATGCACTATTTTAGAGGAAAGTGCTTTGCAAAAAAAGTTGTACATTAAGCAAAATTGCATACGAATGTATATTGTTAGGAGAAAATTGCACACAAACGCTGACGAATTCTCATGAGGACTTTTAAAGAAATGAAAACAATGTGGAGATATGGACAACTGAATTTAAGATTGGAAACATGAGAAACTGAGGGAAACCAAAATTGACAGAGTTGTCCACCTACCCTGAATAGTCTTAGAATTCACCCGCCATAGATATTACACTTCTGCGGGCAATGAATTATCCCATGAAAGTATGAGAGGGGAGATATTTGCACCAGCTTTAGACCATACATTTCTCAAAAAGGCAGACTACAGAATGCCATCTAATTCTAAGCACAGCTCTTGTGGTGTTTTGCTACCTTAGTGCTACATGAGCTTTGCTCCTACAGGAAGCAAGCATCCCAAAGTTGTTTCAATGTTGGCGTTCAGTGGGGCATCCTGAGACTTTGAAGCGAGAAGGAAGGATTTCATGGGGAAGTGGATGACACAAGGCTTCTCCTAATAGGTCGCCAAGCACCAAGACAATAACTCACACTTTCCCAGGCCTGAACTGTGAATTAGATAACAGCACAAGAACACATGAAGGTCGCTTGCAAGATAAATAAGTCTGGTGGCTTTGTTTGAGAAGGAAACCTTACAACATACACTCTTTTCTAGTTAGGTTACCATATTCGTTTTAATTAATATAAGGGAGGATGGATATAAGATGGGCGAATTCAAGATGACTCCTGTTTTCCTAACACCCCACTTGCTCTTAATTTGTTTCCTGCACTTTGGGTTAAACCACAGAGCCTAGGACTTGCCAATCAGAAGGTCGGCGGTTTGAATCCCCACAACGGGGTGAGCTCCCGTTGCTAAGTCCCTGCTCCTGCCAACCTAGCAGTTTGAAAGCGCATCAAAGTGCAAGTAGATAAATAGGTACCACTCTAGCAGGAAGGTAAATGGCATTTCTGTGCGCTGCTCTGGTCGCCAGAAGTGGCTTAGTCATGCTGGCCACAGGACCTGGAAGCTGTCTGCGGACAAACGCCGGCTCCCTCGGCCAATAAAGCGAGATGAGCACCGCAACCCCAGAGTCGGTCATGACTGGACCTAATGGTCAGGGGTCCCTTCACCTTTACCTTAAGGAACATCCTTACATGGAATCCTCACATGGTTAACCTTATTGGTTCTTTAATGGGCTTATCTGGAAGATTTTCCAACTACGTTTCAGTTACAAGCACAAGATGAGACTTTGGAAATTGGAAAATAAAACACTTTTCTGTCAGTGGAGGCCTGGCAGTTCAAGGCCTAGCAATTTTAGGAAGCTTCCAAATCAAAGAATGTATGAAGCGACTGGAGGACAGCTCTGGATTTCAAAGACACAGCAAATAATCCTGGCATTGATATCTTTCCAAACCACATGTACCAAAACTGTTGAAGTATTATTGTCACGTTCCCAACACTTAGCATGTTTTAGAATGCCCAGAGGGCCAAGGCTTTGAGGGGGACCCAAATGAGTGAATTCAGTTTTCATCTCTTTGTCATTCATTAGTTTCTTTCTTTTTTCTTCCCCTCCCTGCACCATAAAAGCATGTATCCAAATTCTGCCAAATGTGACATCTCTTGAGTATCCAATTCCTTCTTTTTAAGGAACCATATGCATACTTTTAATTTTCCACTAATTACAAATTCATGGCAAGTGTGAAATGATATTTTAGGGTCTAGTGGTGTTAATTTTCCATGTCTGTAACCAACGACATGCAAAGTGTCAAAGTGTTACTTTTCACATGGTCCTCAAATAAAATTAGCACTTTTCTGTCATAAAGTATGCCGAAAGAAATTGTATGTCTAGATGAGGGAGGTGAAAAACCTCAAGCCAAAATAACCAAGCGTCTTTTCAGGTTAAATTGTAAATGTGAAATTGAGAAATGGTAGAAACATAAAATACACATCTTTTTCTCTGCTATTCCAGCATCTGGAAAAAGAGGAGACTGAGAGGAGATATGATAGCCATCTTCAAATATCTCAAGGGCTGTCACATGGAAGATGGAGCAAGGTTGTTCTCTTCTGCTCCGGAGGGTAGGATTTGAACCCATGGCTTCAAGTTACAAGAAAGGAGATTCCAACTAAACATTTGGAAAAACTTTCTGACAGTAAGAGCTGTTCAGCAGTGAAACAGACTCCCACAAGAGGTGGTGGACTCTCCTTCCTTGGAGGTTTTTAAGCAGAGGTTGGATGGTGATCTGTCATGGATGCTTTAGCTGAGATTCCTGCATTGCAGGGGGTTGGACTAGATGACCCTTGGGTCCCTTCCAACTCTACGATTCTATTATTCTATCTTTTTCTTTGTTATTTCCATCATGTTCTTTTTTTTCCAGGCAACCTATGATAAGATAAGAGAAAACTTTATTCGCATTAGCCAATGGCCATAGCAACAGTAAAACATTACAGTATATGCAGAAAAGGAAATTTGATATAAGAGCACAATTTAAAGTCCTGAATTAGCCGTCAGTTAGTGGCCCTTATTCTGATTGCCCTGCTATGAACCTGGCAACCTTTGCTGTTATCTGCTCATTTTGATCTGATAAAAGAAAGGGCATTGTGGTAGTGGTTAAGCGCCCTGGGATGGTTAGTACAAGTGGGGTGATGATCTCGTTCCTCAGGTCTTTGTAGAGAGTACAAGACAGGAGGACGTGTGCCGCTGTTTCTGTGCTACCATCTCCACAGGGGCAACCTATGAAGGTGATCTTGAACACGGCATCTGTTATTCAGAAAAGACAGCTTCTGTACTCAGAACTTCCATCTAGCTATTAGTCCTAATAGATATTGACAGTGAGGATGGGGCAGATACTTGATACAGTTCAGATGCAAATACAAACCTACCCAATCCCCACTTTCCAAAACTATGTGTGAACCATAACATAGGCATCCTTTGGTATTTATACTTCCTGAATTTTGTACTGCCCTCCTCTAGCTAAGTAATGCATACAGAAATGCGTATATCAGGGTCAAGTGTGGCACAGAAATGCATATATTGGTGGAAATAACATACCATCGTTATTACCATTGACGTATGGAGAGCTAAGTTTAAGAGTGTAAAAATGAGACAAATGATCAGATTCGCCTGTCCCCTGACAGTGCACTCAGAAGAAATAACCACTGAGTTCAGTGGTGCTTAATCCCAGGTAGGTATGGGCCGGGTTGCAGTCTTGTAGAACTGTCCTCTATTTTTCTCATTCTTTTGGAAGCCATCTGTGTCAGTGGTTTGAATCCCAGTTTGTGGTGGTGAGTTCCAGTCAATTTTATTTGTAGTACAGTGGTACCTTGGTTCTCAAACTTAATCCTTTCCAAAACCAAAGCGTTCCAAAACCAAGGTTTCCACAAGGATTGTCTTTTACTTTCAAAGGAAGGAAGGTTAAAATAAGAACAGTTCAAGATAAAGAACAGTTTCTGGAGAGATATCAGGAGGACTTGCAGAAAGGAACAGTAGAAACAACAATACAAGAAAAAGGAGTGACAGACATTGCAAACTTGTCATTTGGACTCATACCATCACCTGAAGAGGAACAAAAGCTAGGAGCAGTCGGAGGAACAGGTACTTAATAACAAAATGTCTCTGCAACTTCTTAGCTGGAACTGTAATGGTTTGAACCTTCCCGAAAAAGACGCCAAGTTTTTCATATTTTGAAAAGAGAACAATTAGATCTAATATGCCTACAAGAGACTCATGTGACCAGGACACATCGGAAATTATTGGTAAATAAGAGACTTGGACAAGAATTTATTTCATCAGATAAAGTTAAGAAAAGAGGCGTGGTGATCTATGCAAAAGAAAAATTGGCTCCAAAGATGATATTTAAAGATGAACAAGGAAGATACCTGGCAATTGAAATACAAGTTCAAGGAGAAAAAATTTTGATAGTTGGAATATATGCACCAAATGATGGGAAGGCGGAATTCTTTAAGAAGTTGCATGAGACTTTAATGGACTATTTAGACTACAGAATTATAATGATGGGAGACATGAATGGCGTAGTTTCCACAAATATGGATAAAGCACAGAGACAAGTAATTTCCAAGGAAGGGAGACTACCAAAGACTTTTTTGAAATGACTGAAAATATGGACTTGATTGACATTTGGAGAACAAGGAACCATCTTGAGAGAGAGGGAACTTTTTCTCTGAAGCAAAAATGACATGGACAAGAATTGACCAAATTTGGGTAACTAGCAGTATGGCGCCAAGGATTAAAAAGGTAGAAATCTGCTCAAAGACTTGCTCCGACCATAATGCTGTAAAGATGGAGATGAAACTTACAACAACTGGATCCTTCAGATGGAGAATGAATGACACCCTATTCAGGGATGAAGAGATTTATAAGAAGGCCCAAAAACAGTGAAAGATTATTTTGAGATAAATTTGAGAACAGAAGTGGAAAAAGAATAATTTGGGACGCAAGTAAGGCCGTGATGCGAGGTTTCCTAATACAACAGAACTCCATAAAAAGGAAAAATCAAAATGAAAGGAAAGGAAAAATTCTGGAAAAAATAAAAGAAGGTGAAAAGAAATTGAGGTCTAAACCAAAGTCTCATGAGATTCTGAAAGAAATAAAGTACTATCAGGTGCAATATATGGAATTGATGAATCAAGAGATAGAATGGAAAATAAAGCAAATGAGACAAAAGACATTTGAATCAGCAGATAAATGTGGGAAATTTCTGTCATGGCAATTGAAAAAGAGGCAAAAATTGAACACTGTGACAAGTTTAGAAGTGGACGGAAAGATTATCCACAAACCAAATGAGATAAGTAATTGTTTTCAAGGTTATTTTAGGAAATTATATGCACAAGGGCCAGTTAATGAACAGGAAATAGAAGAATTTGTTAAGAAACATGGATTACCAAAAATTTCAGAGCAAAGCAGAAGGATTTTGAATGAGAAAATAACAGGACAAGAAATAGAGGGTGCCATTCAGAAGATGCAATTGGGAAAAGCTCCAGGACCAGATGGTTTGACCGCCAGATACTATAAAGTGTTGAAGGAATGGTTAGTACAACCACTGAAGGAAGTATGTAATGAAATTTTGGAGGGGAAAAAGGCACCAGAGTCGTGGAAAGAAGCTTTTATCTCACTTATACCGAAAACTGAGACTGAAAAGAACCAGGTTAAAAACTACCGCCCTATATCATTACTCAATGTGGATTACAAAATTTTTGCGGACATTATGGCAAAAAGACTGAAGAGAGTGTTGGTAGGGGAGATTCATAAAGACCAAACTGGCTTTCTTCCAGGGAGATATATGTCGGACAATGTGAGGAACATTATAGACATTTTGGAACTGTTAGAAGTGGACATTAATAGGAAGGCTGTTTTAATTTTTGTGGACGCGGAGAAAGCCTTTGACAATATTGGTTGGAGTTTTATGAAGAAGAATCTCCAAGGGATGGGGGTAGGTCAAGGGTTTGAAAATGGTATAGGTGCAATATACTCTAAACAAAAAGCAAAGTTAATTGTAAACAATGTGGTAACGGAAGAAATACCTATAGAAAAAGGTACACGACAGGGGTGCCCAATATCCCCTCTATTGTTTATATTAGTCCTGGAGGTTTTGTTAAATATGATTAGAGGAGACCAGTTGGTTAAAGGAGTACAAGTCGGAGCCAAACAGTACAAGTTAAGGGCATTTGCAGATGACCTAGTATTGACCTTGCAACAGCCAGATACTAGTACTAAAAGAGTATTAGAACTAATTGAGATATTTGGTCAAGTAGCAGGATTTAAACTGAACAAACAGAAAACGAAAGTGTTGGATAAAAATTTAACATTGGCCGAAAAAGAGAAGTTTCAGAATGAAACAGGACTAGTGATAACGAAAAAAGTAAAGTACCTGGGGGGTAAACTTAACATCTAAGAATGTGAATTTATTTAAGGACAATTATGATAAATGTTGGACAGAGGTAAAGAAGGATCTAGAAATATGGTCAAGGTTGAAACTTTCTTTGTTAGGCCGAATTGCTGTTATCAAGATGAATGTATTGCCTAGAATGTTGTTTTTATTTCAGACATTGCAGATTTTGGACAAGATGGACTGTTTCAAGAAGTGGCAGAAAGATATATCTAAATTTGTCTGGCAGGGCAAAAAGCCCAGAATAAAATTTAAGAATCTAACTGATGCTAAAGATAGAGGGGGGTTTGCCCTGCCGGACTTAAGACTCTACTATGAATCGGCGGCTTTCTGCTGGTTGAAACAGTGGCTACTTCTTGAGAATACAGATATTTTGGATCTAGAAGGGTTTGATAATAGATTTGGTTGGCATGCATATATATGGTATGATAAGGTAAAACAGCATAAAGGTTTCAAAAACCATATTGTTAGGAAAGCATTATACAATGTTTGGATGCGGTATAAAGATCTATTGGAAAGTAAAACTCCCAGGTGGTTGTCACCAATGGAAGCTAAAGAGGTGAAAAACTTAATATGGAGTCTAAATGGCCAAAATATTGTGAAATTCTAGAACAAGATGGGGAAAAAGTTAAATTACAGAGCTATGAGAAATTAAAGTCCAAAGTGCGAGATTGGTTGCACTACCTTCAGATAAACGAGACATTTAAACAGGACAGGAAAATAGGTTTCCAGATGGAGAGGTCAAAATTGGAAACAGAACTGTTAGAACCCAATACTAAGAATCTGTCGAGAATGTATAATCTGCTGTTGAAATGGAATACACAGGATGAAACGGTGAAATCAGCTATGATAAAATGGGCACAAGATATCGGTCATAACATTATGTTTGCTGACTGGGAACAGTTGTGGACCACCGGTATTAAATTTACGGCATGTAATGCCTTAAGAGAAAACATTATGAAAATGATGTATAGGTGGTACATGACCCCAGTCAAGCTTGCAAAAATTTATCATTTGCCCAATAACAAATGTTGGAAATGTAATGAGACTGAAGGTACTTTTTATCACCTTTGGTGGACCTGCCCGAGGATAAAAGCTTTTTGGGAAATGATCTATAATGAAATTAAGAAGGTTCTTAAATGGACCTTCCCTAAAAACCAGAGGCTTTTCTCTTGGGCATTGTCGGCCAATTGGTGAGAAGGAAGGACAGGACGTTTTTTATGTATGCGACAACAGCAGCAAGGATTCTTCTAGCAAAGTATTGGAAGACACAACAACTACCCACACTGGAAGAATGGCAGACGAAGGTGATCGACTATATGGGACTGGCCGAATTGACTGGCAGAATCCGTGACCAGGGGAAAGAGACAGTGGAAGAAGATTGGAAGAAATTTAAAGTTTATCTTAGAACTTGTTGTAAAATTCAGGAATGTTAAAATGTCAAGGGGTTGGGAAACAGAGAACTGCAGCTGTAATTAATAATATTAGAAGAACTTAAAAGAAATTGAATTGAATAATTAGTTGATTGAGGAGTTGCTGAAGAAATATAAAACAAGGATGCAGAAAAGGGGAGGTATGGGGAAGTCCGGAAAGTAAGGTTTATGAAAAATGGCTATGAAATTATACATGTTTATATGTTTGTATGTCGGTGTTTTGTGCATTGTTTGCTTTCTTATCTTATGTTTGGAAAATTAATAAAAATTTATTAAAAAAAAAAAAAAAGAGACAGTCATTACTTTTAAATATTTACTCACATTTTCTTTGATTCAGACTCTTAAAATTTCAATTTTGTTGTTTCTTACGCAGCTAAGTTTTATCTATGATATACAGTCATACCTTGGTTTTTGAACAGCTTAGTTCTCGAACGTTTTGGCTCCCGGACGTCGCAAACAGGGAAGTGAGTGTTCCAGTTTGCGAACTATTTTTGGAAGCCGAACATCCGATGCGGCTTCCTCAGCTTCCAATTGGCTGCAGGATCTTCCTGCAGCCAATCAGAAGCGGCACTTTGGTTTGCTAACGTTTTGGAAGTTGAGCGGACTTCCGGAACAGATTCCGTTTGACTTCCAAGGTACGACTGTATAGCTTTGCTCTGCTTCTACCAAGTTGCTAGGAAACTTTACTGAATGCCCTTGTTATATTTTCATGCTTTTATGCAAACTACTTATTATATGGAATAGTATAAAAACCGTATGGATAAATTAACTTTTCTGATTGGGTGGCAAAATAAAAGTGATATGTCTTCAAGTAACTAGCCTTAGCTAATCAAAGAAGCAATCATCAATTACTATTGAAATTGATAGGGTTAGTGGAACTAATTTACCTCCCATTAATTTCAAGGCAACTTTAGTCTGGCTAAATTTATTTGGGCCTCTGCCCTGGAGACCTAATTACAAATATTGCCCAGTGGCATATGTAAAATATTTATATTAAAGAATTAAGTGGCTGGATATGATCCAATTTGAGAAGATTTATCAAGTGGATGGGGTTAACCTGAAGAGCTTCTGCACATGTTGGGTCAGCCTGAACATGTGCAGAAAGTCATATTTTTTATCACATAGTTTCTGAGCAACCTAGAATTGTAGAGTGGGAAGGGACCCTGAAGATCCTCTATTCCACCCCCACCCCCCCGAAGTCTGGGCATTATCAGCACCACGCTGTAATAACCAACTGAGCTATCCAGCCTCATTTGACAGTTTCAAAGAGAGAAAGGGGCTAACGAAAAATAAATTTTGTACAAGGGTCTAAAAAGCGGGCCAACCTGAATACAGTGGTACCTCAGGTTACAGACGCTTCAAGTTACAGACGCTTCAGGTTACATACTCTGCTAACTCAGAAATGGCACCTTGGGTTAAGAACTTTGCTTCAGGATGAGAACGGAAATCGCATGGCGGCAGCGGGAGGCCCCATTAGCTAAAGTGGTGCTTCAAGTTAAGAACAGTTTCAGGTTAAGAACAAAGCTCCAGAATGAATTAAGTTCTTAACCCGAGGTACCATAATAATAATAATAATAATAATAGTAATAATAATTTTATTATTTGCACCGTGCCCATCTGGCTGGGTTGTCCCAGCCACTCTGGGCAGCTTCCAACACACATAAAATAAAATAAAACCCACCGTACATTAAAAACTTCCTGATACATGACTCCCTTCAGACGTCTTCTAAAAGTTGCAGTTAATTTCTCTCCTTGACATCTGGTAGGAGGGCATTCCACAGGGAATGCACGACAGCCGAGAATGGTGACCACAGATATTGTTTTTACAGCCCATGCTTTGGGGGGGGTGAGGGGGGGTTTCTGGGGGAAACAACACTTCAAGATAAAGGCTAAACATTGCTAGTGTCGATATTGATTACTTGGGCCCATTCGGCTAATTAATGCCTTGCCACCAAAAGGGTATCTTGCATGCACTCCCAGCAAAAGCACTGGTGGCAGTTCTAGTTTATCTGAGGCAAGAGCTCTGTATCATTCATTTATTTAAGGTCTTACATGCAAAACACAGTCAGGAGAGTAGGGAGAAGGTACAGATGGATCTGAAGCTGACCGCCAACCATTCCTAAGGGCGAAATACCATCTGAGCAGGGTTATGACCTTCAGTTAAATAACTGAAGCTGTGGTGGATAATTAGGATGGGTGGTAGGGAGAAAGGGACCAGAGTTTACATTTCCTTCATGTTATCTCTAGCTGTGACACTCTTCCCCAGAGTTCCTGTAGAAAGCACTCATCCTTCCTGAAGGACAGGAAGTGTTTGTCGGAATGGGGATTTACATATTCCCTTGGCGATGGGGCCACTCACCCAGATGGCATGCTACTTATTTCCTTCAAACAACAAAATAATGTGGGCAAAGTTGAGAGGCTGCATTGTTTGGAAAATGCTTTCCTCGGTTGTATTCTGCCCTTAGCTCAGCTATGAAGTGTCCGTTCCCTGTAGAATGTGGGACTCGGTGTTGTTAACGTGAAATAAAACCAAAGATTCCATAAGCAAGAGAGAAAACGTCCTGGTAAATAGGCCTGCTCCAAGACTGCTGTGCTGTTCATGTTTTCAGGAGGAGATGCTTAGAAACTGCAACAGCTTCTTCATTTGCAGTGGCAGCAAGGATTTTTCCTCCTCCTCCTCATTTCGGTAAAATTAAAATAAAGAAGAATCCTCAGCCACATGGGGTTTAAAGATTAAGACCACCCACTATGTATGGGGGAGAAATTTGATTTGCTTCACATTTAAATGTGAGCCCATCTAATTTGCTCTTTCTGAAAAAAATATGAGAACTGAAATTCAGCCATCCTTTGAAATTCACCTCTTTGAATTTTGCGAGCAGGGCCGGCCCACCCAGGAGGCAGGGTGAGGTGTCTGCCTCAAGTGGCAAGATACATAGGGGCAGCAAATCCCAATTTAGAGCTTTATTCTCCTCCTGATTCCCCTCCTTGTTCCTGATGCAGATCTCTACGAACCCATTCTTCCCGTGTGGAGAATGGGGTGCCTGGTGATGGGTTGCCTCAGGTACGAGAGTGTCGTGGCGGGACCCTCGATGCCGGTTCTCCAGCTAAATACAGTGGTACCTCTGGATGCGAATGGGATCCGTTCTGGAGCCCCGTTCTTATCCAGAAGCGATCGCAACCCACGTCTGTGCGTGCGCGGGTCGCAATTCGCAACTTCTGCACATGCGCGTGATGTCATTTTGGCCGTCTGTGCATGCGCGAGCAGCGAAACGCGGAAGTTATGTGCTCCGTTACTTCTGGGTTGCCGCAGCGCGCAACCCGAAAATACTTATCCCGAAGCTACTTCAACCCGAGGTATGACTGTAATGCATATTCTGGGGTAAATGCATTCATTAAAGTGCATATATTCATGAAAACAACACACCAAAATGCACTATTTTAGAGGAAAGTGCTTTGCAAAAAAAGTTGTACATTAAGCAAAATTGCATACGAATGTATATTGTTAGGAGAAAATTGCACACAAACGCTGACGAATTCTCATGAGGACTTTTAAAGAAATGAAAAGGATGTGGAGATATGGACAACTGTATTTAAGATTGGAAACATGAGAAACTGAGGGGAAACCAAAATTGACAGAGTTGTCCACCTACCCTGAATAGTCTTAGAATTCACCCGCCATAGATATTACACTTCTGAGGGCAATGAATTATCCCATGAAAGTATGAGAGGGGAGATATTTGGACCAGCTTTAGACCATACATTTCTCAAAAAGGCAGACTAAAGAATGCCCTCTAATTCTAAGCACAGCTCTTGTGGTGTTTTGCTACCTTAGTGCTACATGAGCTTTGCTCCTACAGGGAGCAAGCATCCCAAAGTTGTTTCAGTGTTGGCGTTCAGTGGGGCATCCTGAGACTTTGAAGCGAGAAGGAAGGATTTCATGGGGAAGTGGATGACACAAGGCTTCTCCTAATAGGTCACCAAGCATCAAGACAATAACTCACACTTTCCCAGGCCTGAACTGTGAATTAGATAACAGCACAAGAACACATGAAGGTCGCTTGCAAGATAAATAAGTCTGGTGGCTTTGTTTGAGAAGGAAACCTTACAACATACACTCTTTTCTAGTTAGGTTACCATATTCGTTTTAATTAATATAAGGGAGGATGGATATAAGATGGGCGAATTCAAGATGACTCCTGTTTTCCTAACACCCCACTTGCTCTTAATTTGTTTCCTGCACTTTGGGTTAAACCACAGAGCCTAGGACTTGCCAATCAGAAGGTCGGCGGTTTGAATCCCCACAACGGGGTGAGCTCCCGTTGCTAAGTCCCTGCTCCTGCCAACCTAGCAGTTTGAAAGCGCATCAAAGTGCAAGTAGATAAATAGGTACCACTCTAGCAGGAAGGTAAATGGCATTTCTGTGCGCTGCTCTGGTCGCCAGAAGTGGCTTAGTCATGCTGGCCACAGGACCTGGAAGCTGTCTGCGGACAAACGCCGGCTCCCTCGGCCAATAAAGCGAGATGAGCACCGCAACCCCAGAGTCGGTCATGACTGGACCTAATGGTCAGGGGTCCCTTCACCTTTACCTTAAGGAACATCCTTACATGGAATCCTCACATGGTTAACCTTATTGGTTCTTTAATGGGCTTATCTGGAAGATTTTCCAACTACGTTTCAGTTACAAGCACAAGATGAGACTTTGGAAATTGGAAAATAAAACACTTTTCTGTCAGTGGAGGCCTGGCAGTTCAAGGCCTAGCAATTTTAGGAAGCTTCCAAATCAAAGAATGTATGAAGCGACTGGAGGACAGCTCTGGATTTCAAAGACACAGCAAATAATCCTGGCATTGATATCTTTCCAAACCACATGTACCAAAACTGTTGAAGTATTATTGTCACGTTCCCAACACTTAGCATGTTTTAGAAAGCCCAGAGGGCCAAGGCTTTGAGGGGGACCCAAATGAGTGAATTCAGTTTTCATCTCTTTGTCATTCATTAGTTTCTTTCTTTTTTCTTCCCCTCCCTGCACCATAAAAGCATGTATCCAAATTCTGCCAAATGTGACATCTCTTGAGTATCCAATTCCTTCTTTTTAAAGGAACCAT